AAGAAATTACAAAGTATGGTATGAAATAATGAGACCTCAGTGATATTTATTTGATTTTTAAGACTCTCCTCTCCCTCCAAATGAAAAATGCCAGGTAAGACGTGAACAACTCAGTGACTGTAAATGCAGGTAAATGCATTTAAAATGAGCGATTATATTGATAGCAACATATGGGCCTATAACTTGTAGCTACTTGAAGAAGAAATGTGAACTGCTAAAGAAGAAGGTCATTATGTATGTTTTGTTGAGAGGTTTGTTTTTGTTTTAATTTTTGCAGTAATACTTTTGAATGATCTGTGGAATAAGTACTTGTTTGTTACTTAGGGCTATGATTTATTTCATTTCCTATGGGGGAAAAAAAAGTCATTTATAAATTCTTGAGTGATTTTCCTTTATACCCGGTTTCAGTTTTCATAGGTGTAAGATCTCAGTGAGATACAAATCATGTTTATAATCTGTGCACTTTAGATCATTTGGAAGACAAATATGTACTGCTGTACTGTTTAATTAATTTGACCAAAATCTGCAGTTTACTTGAGTCACAAACTTATCTCAGAGTTTAAAGGTAAATTGATTACATGCCAGTGCGAAGGTAACGTGAAGCAATTGCTCTTTCTGAAATAGCACTTGTTTTCTGGTACTTGGAGCTAGAGCAAAACGAAACAAAAACACGTGGATTTACCTTTAATTTTTAATAGTGAGGAGAAAAAGGTAAGAAACCACGGAGTAGGTTTTGTACAGCTGACATTGTAATCAGTGTAAATGAGTGGAACAGTGAATACAAAGAAATTAGCAGGCACTTCTCTGATACACTGATTGAGAAATCAGTGATTGTGCTTGAGGACAGTGCTTCAAATCTTTTCCATACTGACTCAGCTTATGTAACTTCTCAGTGCTTTTGGTTAGAAGTCATTACTGAGCTGATACATTTATGGATCTCTGAACATTTCAGAAAACTACTATCTATTGTTCACAGACAAAAGTAATGGGAAAAGTGAAGCATTGAAGCAAATGGCCTGATTCCCTTTCATAGAGAAGAAACTTAAATGTTTTCTAATTGATTTTGGTAAGTTTTGGCTTGTATTTTAAGGCCTAAAACCAGGCACTTCCCATTGCCATTGGTACTTAATTCCAGTTTTGAATCTTGGTGTAGGAAGAGTACAGGAGGACTTCATCAAGTCAGAGACAGAAATGAAAATATCCCAAAAAGCACTGACCTTCCAACACCCTTGAGAATAAAAGGGTAGAAGAGTTGTGCCAATACAGCGTCTTTTGTGTCCAGTTCTCTTCTCACTGCGCTGTAGTGCTGTAAGAAGATTTCCCTGATGGAATCATGCTTCCCTGAGCTGCAGTTCAGTCCTGCTGCTGGCTGTAGGTTGCTTAGTGTATGGACTCACAAATGAGTTAGCAGAGGAACTGAAGTGTTATTCTGCTTATAAATCAATACAATACTGTGTAATACTTGCTAATCAGCACAGTTGTATACCATGTTAAATAAAGAGGATTTTGTGCCTCAGTGGAAGAGGATGAATGATCTGATATTTCCTGCCCATGAATATGAGCAGTTACTGTGATTTTTGAAACTTTGTTTGCTGCAGATTAATTCTTCTCTGTTTGTCCTCTCCTTCAGTACTGGTGGGTCTCAAAAGGAAGGACATCTTCTGCCTTTGCATGACCTGTGACAGTGGTGTTATAATGGTTTTGTTGTTTATATTTTTGGTATATATTTACTATTTATATTCATTCTATTGGATTAGTAGTAGAGGACTCCAGCATCTCTTCTAGTTAAAATGGGAATAAAGTTTAACATTTTATATGTAATATTAGAAATGTAGTAATTTTGCTCGATCAATTCAAAGACTTGTAAGTTTTTGAGCTTTTGAATTAAATTACATATGATTCTTGCTTCTGTCTTGGGACCTTCTAACAGTTAAAGCATATAGTCTTGAAAAACATGTAGCATTTTAGAACATGTAAAAATAATTCCCATGTAACAAATGTTGTGTCTTCAAGTTAACTTGTTGTGCATTACAGTGACACCACATTTATTAACTGTTAGGGGTACGTACTTTGTAGGCATGGTCACACAGAAGATTAATGATGATACATCATCTTTACTATGTTGTTTTTTGTTGTTGTTATTTTTGTGTGTTTTAAATGAAAATAATGTGCTTTCTGTCTATGACTACATATCCACATTTAGGTTATCTTATATTGCTAGCTTTGTGGAAACTCTCTGGTTTAAAGCTGTGTAATGTTAACATTAGAGGAGGAGCTGTGTTTGCTTCCCCAGTGTCAATCTAGAAATATTTTAACAATAAAAGCAGTTATTCTGTTAATAATGCAGATAGAAAATGAACAGCTAGGTAGTTTTTAGAACTTACCAAACATGTGTTTTAGTGATAATCCTTAGTTATGGATTAAGGGTTTTATATAAATATGATGTAGCTACAGCTTCTAATGGTATTTTGAGGGTGTAAAATGACTGTAACTATAATTTAGTTCTGCTGGATTCATATGTCAAGTAAAGTAAGTATTTGAAAGTTGAAAGGAATGTCCTTCTGTTCAAAAGCCTTTTTCTCCCATTTCCTCTTCTGACTGATTCAGCAAGTTAGAGGATGTAAGGATGTTAAACAGACAGCCTTCCCTTCAACCTCTGTCCATTACTGTTAACAAGTGAAAGTTTCTGTTCTCTCTTTACTGATTTCTCCTAAATGCTCGTAACCATGAAGCTAAATGGTCTCCTGTAGGTGTGTGTTACTTTTGCCCCCAGCTGGCTTCTCAGCAAGTGCTAGAGCAGCCTCCAGTGACCTGCTCTATGTGCAGTACATTTATAGGTATATTGAGATGTGTGCGTGGAGGTGCATGACATCTCACCTTCAGTGGCCTTGGTGGAGAGCGCATCTGAAAAGTTGCCAATAAAAGGATTGGTGCAGATGCCTGTGCAGCTTAAGTTTATCCTCGTTTTGCTTGTGCAGGTTGAAACACAATCTTTATAGGGTCTGATATTGTGCTCCTGTGCAGTACCGCAGCCTCATGCAGTGAGTGGTGCTCTCAGAATGCGTGTCTGCATCTGTGATTCTTGTGTTCCTTGCTTCATTTTCTGCCTCTGACTCCTCTCCTGTTTTACTGAGCATCTTTCAGAAGTTAATATATGGAACTGCTGGTTTTCCAGTGAGCTTTCCTTTATAATGTAAACTGAGGGAAGTGAGGATTAAAAACCAGTGGCAGCAAGAGTCGTACTGAAGGCCTTTGTCATGGTTTTATGATTTTGGTATTCCACATCATAACATCATGTAGTGCATTGGGAGTTAAAGAGTTGGTGCTGCAGGTGCAGGCACCTGTCCTGGAAGAGAAGAGTTACTACATTCCCCAGAAGACTGTTTGCTATTCTGTTGCCATTTCTGCTCAGGGGGAGCAGATAAAGGCCTTGGTAGGTCACCTGGCACTCCCTTTTCCAAATCTCACTGTGGAAGGCAATTTCTGCTGTAGAATTCTGTGAAGGTTTACAAATTATTCAGGTTTCTTGTCATTCCAAAGGTTAGAAAGTGAAAGTGTGTGCAGTCAGTTTCTTCAACACAAAAGCTGAATGCTAACCTGATCTGTAGGGGCTCTGTGGAAGTGGTCAGAGATATTATATAATAGATACAGATATAAAAGAGCTATTGAGCTCTTCTGGACAGTTCACTCAGAAGGCAGCAGAGCTCATTGGCAGGGTTTCTCCCACCCTCTTGTCCCTGAGACACTGGGTAAGGCAGAATAGCCAGGGACGTTGTTCTTCATAGCAGTGAGCTGGAGGTTGACTTGACCTGTCTCATCAAGCTGCTGTGTAATTGAAGTGCTCTTGAATCACCTCTGGAAGAGCCTACTTATGTCTGATAATTATGCTGGAAGCTTAAGGAGGCTGTCCATCTAAATTAGATACCTTAATTAGACCCAGTGAGTACTGATATTCATATCCTTTCTGCTTTTTAAAACTGATACGGACCTTTTAAAGCAGCCTAAGGTAATTGGATGGGAAGAGTGTTGACTTGGTATTCAATGTGAATTTGAACATCAGGATAGTGTTATTAAAATATCTAAAATACCTTGCATTAATGTGAGATCTTTTTTTAAGAATTGGTGACTTTTCCATTTTGCTTTTAAGTTCCAGATTTTTGGAAGTAAAAATAGAATCTGAATTTACCTTTAAAGTACAAAACATGATCAAAATTCTCCCCTGGCATCTGCTGTGTTTTCATGGGTAGGTAATAGCTTTAAAGCTTGTAAAAATTGAGGTTATCTTATAAAAATCTACTTGAACTTATGGATAGCAGGTAGCCTGGTAAAAATGTATATTTGTTCTGTTATTCCTGTTACAAGTATGCATGTAGACTGTATTTTAACATTTCAAAAATTTTCTTTTTTTTCATGTTAGAGTTCATGACTGTGATTTTCTACAAACATTTTAGGGACATATTAACTCATGGCTTCTGGTTTGCCTACTTGATTGGCTGTTTCATTTAAGTTGTTGATAGTAGATCTGTTGTGAATTGGGTTCTTTGATTTTAGCACTGCTTTAATAATTCCATTAATATATTGGTCAATATATATATATATTTTTCTGGTAAGATGTAGTTGTATTAAAGTATGAATAGTGCTTTGATGCATGTTGCTATGATTGTAAATCCTATTGTAGTTTTAAATGACAGAATTCTGTCTCAAAGTGGACATCAGCATCAGATGTCGTGGCCTCTGTCAGAAAAATCCAGCTCCTGTTATTTTCACAAGTGCAGTGGTTTAATGCTTGATCTGTGGATGATGGATGCAGTAGAAAATGCAGAGGAAAAAAGCCTGCAAATGATGGAGTGCTTGTGAAGGGCTACAGAGGAACGCATGACAGCATGTACTGTTATTTGTATTATGGCATTTAGCTGTAAAACGTGCCAGCAAAAGATATATTCGTGTGTGTCAGTTCTGATATTATTTCTCTAATTACTACAATGGTTTTTATCTTCCAGGCACAGTTAGTTGATCTGAAGTCTGAACTGACAGAAACCCAGGCAGAGAAAGCAGTATTGGAAAAGGAAGTCCACGATCAGCTTTTGCAGCTTCATGCTGTCCAACTTCAGCTACATGCCAAAACTGGTCAGAATGTGGATTCGGGGGCTATTAAGGCAAAGCTGGTGAGTACAGTGGCTTGAATGGAGGATTGTACTTTCCCCTTTCCTGTCTGCAGCTCTTCCTTGTGAGTTATGAATAAGCTGATTATAAATTTTCATGCTAAAGATGTTGGAGAGAGTTCACTTTTTTTCTTTTTAAAATAAGATTTATTGGTAGTGTTTAGGAACCATTAAAAATAATAAGTAAGAATGTAAGTCAGTTTTACGTAGAACTTTTCTGAGCAGTTTATTAAAGCAAAGTAAGAAAATATTGTGGTGAATTATAATGCTTTTATGGCAGCAGAAGTAGTGAAAGATGATAGCTTCCAATGTAAAAACACAGCCAAATCTTCACATGTTATAAAATAGTCTAGAAGTAAAAATCTGTTCTTGATGTAGCAAGAATATAAGAGTAGGAATGGGATTGTTTTGCCATAGGAGGAGATGGCAGATGATGTCACATTCCTCTCCCTTGTATTTTTTCTTTCAGAATGCTATAGATGCTCTCCATTGTTATATTCCACATACTGTCATAAAAAGACCAATAGACAACTGATAATTTTGTGAAATATGGTTTTGAGAAACTTAGACCTTTAAAATGTATACCAGAAGATAATAGTAATTTAACTGTGGAACTTGTTAGCATTGACTGATATCCAGAGTATAGTATGCCTTGTTACTATCTGCAGCAAAGATTCATACTCTAATACTGATACTTTTAAAATCAGGAAGTGGTGTAATGCTGACTAGGTTCTGATTTCTAACTCTTTGCATAATTCAAAGATTACCATCTAGCTGTTTTTGAAACTGCTTCACAAGTTCCTTCCAAATAGCAAGTCTCACCATCTGTGAAATGTTAAAATAGTCTCTGCTATTTTGTCCTGTTAATTAATGTAAAATAAAACACAGCAATAGGCTCTCAGGCCATCTAGGCTGTTCTCTAAATAAGACTATCCCAAATTCTTTCGGTTTCACATCCAAAGGGTGTAAGTGAATTACAGCTGTATTCTTACATCTACATATTTGCATGCTCAGTATAAAGAATAATATTTTCTGCATTATCCACACATAATTTAGTCTGTATTGAATTATAGCTATAGCTAAAGGTTTTTTAGAGCCATTATTAACTGGACATGTAAATAAGAGTTAGTTAAATACCACCCACATACTCTAAGTGTTAGGCTTCAGGTTTACATGGAGCAAAATGATTAGCCAACCAATTTTTAGCACGTGATTTTCATTCCTAAATTTTATTAGTGAGACTTAACTGCTGAGTGACGCAGTCATACTTCTAATGTGTTTCTTTCTCCTTACTTTGTTAGAAGCAATTTCTAAAGATATATTAAATCTCCATGCAAGTGACCTCAGCCTGTTTCAGACAGCTAACAATAAGTACATTTTTTTCTTGTATTGCTTCAGATTTTATCCATGTTGAAGTTGAATTTGCTAACAGTCTAGGCTGATGTTCTCTCCTTTATTTACACGTAGCTCCTTCTTTTTTTATAGACTTGAGGGCTAATCTTTTGAGGTTTTTTTACTTTGCCTTCAGGGATTTTATAGTTTCAGTGGAGAGAAGCTCACTTTTAAACTCTTGTAGATATATAAAACTTCACAGTTTTCTGTAGCTTGAGCAAGCAAAATTGAACTTTCTTAAATGACAGTAAAAATGAGAAGTCTGAGTTTTAGGTAAATAAAAACTGTCATGCTGACCTTCTGGCAGTTAGAAGTCTCTGTGCCAAAGAGAGACTGTGTCAACAGTGTGTGTGGTGTGAGAAGAAGCTGCTTTTGTAGCAGTTAATTTGCTGCTTTCTTTATTAACTGTAACCGCTCTTCTTTTGTATGTAGATTCTTTATATAAATATGGGCACTATAAGCTGTAGCTTTTAGGGGTGATGTGTTTGCTTAGTCTAAGCATGATAACGTTTTTAGTATGAGAATGGAGTTGCATAATAGATTTATTTTCTTGTGCATAACAATTTGTTGGTTTTTTTTTTGTTATCTCTCACCATCCTGTAAGTCACTATTGTAAAATGCCTTTTGTTATGCTTTCTGAAGTGAAAAAATCCACTGTCAGTATCAAGTACTGTATTATAGAAGACATATTTTTCTGTGATATGTTCAGAAAACTGCCATGTAGCTTATTTACCTATCAGTTAAATGGCTTCTTAAATGTCAGAACAGACAGGAAGTAAATTACCTTCTTCTGCTTTTTCCTCTCAAGTATTACAGTGCTTTTCATGTTATTGTGCTGTTCTTTATAGTTCTTGATATTTTAGCAGAAAGTACTGTTTTCAATACTATAATAAGGTTAGGGTGTTTTTAATGATAATCACAATGAAATACCAAAATTGCTACTAAAAGCAACTACAGCAGTTCGGTTTTTAGAAATTCCCTGTAATAAAATGTACCTGCTGGTAAATTTCTTTTGAAATAGGTCTTTTACTTTAATACACTTTCTTAAAGCTCCAATTACCTGTTTCTCTAATTACGTAACTCTTTTCTTCTGTCTTAAGTCTGTCCTTTCTGTGGATGAATTGGTAAGTATACTGATTGCTCCCTCCCCTTTTTTTAAATGATTAAGTGCTTTTGTTTTGTGTGACAACTTGTATATGTTGGCCTCAGAAACTGGCAAGGCAGATCTGTCTTGTTCCATCTTCCTGTCACTTGGCAAAGTGCTGCGTGAAGAACTTTATTGGCATTTTTAGTTCGTCTGATAGAAAATTCTGATAGTTCTTCCTTATTTTCTCTTTTTTCAGTTCTTTTTATGGGTGTGATTTAATGTATGTCGTGTACTTACCTGTTTAACAGCCTGTAGGTAGATTCTCCTTTTCAGTCTTTCCCAGTGATAGAGTTGAGAATTTTCAAGCAGCTTTTCCACTTTTATTACACTGTGTACCTCAACCTCAATATCATTGCTCCTTTTTTGGTTGGTTTTTTTTTTTTTTTTTGGAAAGCCACTGGTCATCTGATAGCTGTAAGCTTTGATTCTCAACATGGCAGTTGCGTTTTTGCTTTCTTACTTGTTGTATTAGCAGCAGAAAATACAGTTCTCTATATTTACTAAAATTCTGTAATGCTATGAGCACCAGAAAGCAAGAAACACGATTCTTTAACATGCTCATTAAAAAAACCCATATGTTTGGAGTCTTTTATCACATTACACAGCAGTTGCTCAGGGCAAGACTTATCCTTTCAGTACATCTTCTGTGATTCTGTACTGCAGACCTTCAGCTTTTCTTCATATAGTGATCAATTGAAAAGAGTCCAGTGGCTTCTGGGTCACAGAGCAGCAGTCACAGTAATGGAGAAAATAGGAAGAAAACTGGGATTACGTTGTTCCTCCTATTTTAAATACACCATTTAAAATGCATAATTAAAAGTTATTTCACATAGGAAAATAAAAGATGATTTTCTTTTAAATTTAATTTAGATAATGAATGGATGCAGTCTTGGCAATATGTATATAACTAAAATAAATGCTAGCTGCAGGCAGACTCTCCAGCTAATGTAAAATGAGTATTGTGTCTGAACTGCAACATTTCTTACAGCTGAAGTATGTGTCAGATGCAACACAGTGTTTTGGCACCCTTGAATTTCTGTAATTGCCTTCCAGCTGCTGGCAGTAGACATATATTAAAATAGCCCAGAACCATCATTGCAGCAGAGAGAACTGGAATAGTTTTAGAAACTACTGTTCTTCAAATGTAGATTAGCCAGAATTCTTGATTTATGAGTGTACTCTGCAGGTCATAAAAAGGTTTGTTGGAAAGTAGTTGGAGTCATCTCACAAGACAACTCCAAACCCAAGACAGAGACCAGATGTGTCTGTGTGGCAGGTTTTGTAATGTGTGTATCAAGTCAAACCGGATGTGAAGCTGGGTCAGTGTAAGAATTACTGTGCTTGCAAGAATCTCTGTTTCACACTTTCTGAGCAGTGTGCTAGGCAGTTCTTGGCCAATACATAGAGATGTGTAATGTATCTAGTTAGATGAATTGAGTACAGGTGTTTAACAGATGAAAGAGAAGTAGAGTCCACCAAATCCACAGTTGTCTTTCTAGCAAAGGGCTACAAATGCTTACATACATGTTGTGAAAATACCTCTTTTTGGTTTCTATGTAGCAACCTGGCTTAATTGTTCAAAGAGTATTAATACAACCCTTATCTGTTGTTTTGTTATCCACGCTTGGAATAATGAAAAAATACATTCACCATTTCTTAAAAGATTTGTCTTGCCAGTTCTGTAAAATTTTGTTTCTGTCCTGTTGCTTCTTTAGTAGCACCTCATGGTTTTATTTGTTTAGTAGTGTAGTTGATACAAGTAAATGCATTTTAGTGAATTTAGTTCTTATTGCTTTTTCCAGTTGGCAAGCATAGTTAAAATGGAACAGTAATAAATCCTCTGTGTCTGCTGTTTTCGTGGTTTGCTGTTTGCTGAGTTTGTTCTCGCTGCTTTGTAAAAGAGATATAAAACAAGATACAAGAGATACAAGCAATCAAATGAACTCCTCCTGTAGCTGATGTAGTAGGATAATGAGTTGAGTTGAGTGTGCTAATTCCTTTTAGTTCCAGTGATCTGGGTTTTAGAAAAGATAATGGCTATGCATTATCTGTATGTTATGGTGGAGCACTATGGAAGTAATTCTTATTTCCGTAATTCTTTTCTCATGAGGAGGGGAAAGGTAGTGAAGGATGATAGATTTCTTTCTTTCTTTCTTCCTTTTATTTTTTTTGTAATGAAGTTAATTTGTACTTATATCTCTTTAATTTTGTCTGGGTAAGTAGCATCATATATAAAATGTCTAGTCTTATTTTTGTGGTCTTAGGAATCTAATCTGTGGTCTTGGAAATATCCCTGGCTGGACATTTCTTGGTCGTTTGCATGATAATAATGGCCATTTTAAAAACTTACAGAACATTTAAGCATATGAAAAGCTCATTAAAATACTTAAAGAATATTATCCACTTGAGATATGTTGTGGTTTTGTATTAACATTTTTATTTTAAAAATAATCTGTTCTCTCTTATTGGATGAATCTCCCATCTTAACACAAGAAAAGGCAATAATGAGATTCTCTACAGAGAGTGGCAAGAAGTGCTGTTGCTTATTTCAGTCCTTGGACTTTAAGATAGTATATGCATAATGTACAGGAGTTGTAAGCAGGATAAAAATAGTTGAGAGCACAAAGTTGAGTTCAAGGCCACCTTTCCTCGTAGCTGCAGTAGCTGCAGTGACAGAGTCACTTTTATTTCCTGCACGTCCTACAAATAGAATTATTTCACACAGAAATACTAAATGCTCTTTTATTATTAACTTTGATAAAAGCTTTCTGACTTCTTTTTTTATTATTTTTGTCTTCTAAGGAGAGAGAACTTGAAGCTAACAAGAAGGAAAAAGTCAAGGAAGCTCAGTTGGAAGCTGAGGTGAAGTTGCTGAGGAAAGAGAATGAAGCTCTTCGTCGACACATTGCTGTTCTTCAGGCTGAGGTTTATGGAGCAAGATTGGCAGCCAAGTACTTAGATAAGGAACTAGCTGGAAGGCATGTAAAATCAGTCCATGTCCTTAGCATGAGTTTTAGTTGTTATTGTTACAAGACTTCTGTTTAATACTGGAGAGCATATAGCACAATGTGCTTGATCTGTGCCTGGCATTACTTAACACCATGACATCATAACGTAACACCATTAACATGAACAAATATATATAAAGTCACAGTTTTTAAAGGGCTAGAGAGACATAAATAGATGCTGTAGGTTTCTTGACCTTCTATTATTCTGTTACCAAATCAGACTTTTCCTTGTTCAATATCTTCTCCACTGCAACCAGTAAGTGTTCTCTCACAGCATTTGTTGGTTTCTCTTTTCCTAGGTTTTGTACTATGTTCATAAGTGTTAGTGATAAGTATGGTAGAATGACCACAGTGAAGCCAGTCAAAAATCATATTGTACTCCAGAAGTTTAATTTAAAAGATTTAAATTTTCCTGTTGGGTAAATCACTGTGTTACACAGCCTTCATGAGTACATTTTTAAGTATGAGTTATTCTTAGTTTATTTATAAACCTTTGTTTCCTTAACTTTTAAAATTGTTAGCAGGAAGGATACGTGCAGAGGTATGCTCTTGCAAGAAAAGGTTCTGTGACATGTTTATCTAAAGTATACTTGTACTGGTCTCTAATAACTTTAACATATCACTGTGATAGCTCAAGCATGGTAGTGCAGATAAAGTAATGTCAGTTATGCTGGTTTAAATTTGGCAGCATGTGAGTGTGATATTTCTACAACATAACTGCGATAGCTGGCAGTAGATAACTATGGTAAACTTAGATGCATACAATTCTCATCTATGTTAGCAGCATGGTGTTACAATTATGCTCCTATTCCTGAGCTCTCCAGTCCCATTAAGGTCTGCAAGGATCTTTAGTGCCTACACTTAGGGCTCGGGGTGCCCTGTGTGTTGAGGTGGGTTGGAGATACTGTTGTTCTCAGACACCTGGCTTTGCAGCATTGATCTTTTTTTACTCATCCCACTCTTTAGCATCTAAGTTGTCTTTTTATCCCTGCAGAAGTGCCAAGAAAGCGGTACAGAAATTGCCTTCTGTACTTATTTTGTAGAGACAAGAGATGGTTCTTGATGAGGCAGTTCTGATCTGACTGATATTGATCAGTCACTTTATCTCTGTTCGACATCTATCTTTACTATGTTCTTGCATTGTCCATCTAATTGATCATTAATTTGCTTGTTATATTTGTGTAGTGATTCAGCAATATATTAATTCTTATCTTGCCATAAGCACTATTAAATACATTGTACTGAGCTGGCAGTTTGAATCTTTTCTTGTGGGTCTGTTGCCCTTACAACTAGATTTAAATTTCCTCTTTAAAATTTACATTACTTATCCCATCTATTATGTTGGTTTTTTTCTTCCTTTCTTCTTCTTTTTTTAAAAATGAAAAACAAGATAGCTGCGTAAGTCTTCTGAAGACAGTTTTTGGAGCCTCTGGTCATGGGGAAAGCCCAACCACTTCTGCTTTTTGCAACTTTGTGTTTAACAGGTTGTGCTAGTCACACAAATGGTCACTTCTGTAACTCTGTTTATTCTCTTCCTCTGCATCCCCAAAGGCAGGTCCAAAGTTAAGAGTAGTCCAAGTAGGAAGAGTCTTGTATTTGCAGTTAATTAGACAAGGAAGAATCCAAAAATGCTTCACATTACAAAGAAGAGCCATAGGGTTGTGTTCTTGTTGGTTTTTTTTTTATAAAATTTTCTGGATTTTGTGGGGTAGATGAGCTGTTTACAAGCCCTTTAAGCTTATGAAGAATTGTATACATGCATGGCTGTTTAAGTTTAACATGCTCATCATTGTCACAACTTGCAGTTACTGCACTTACACCAGTCACTGCATGACTGCATGCTGTAGTCTGATGGAGCGTAAATTGTACAGTGCACTGATTTTAAGTTGCCTTATAGTGTGTTGTTATTCTCTTTGTCATTTGTAGAGTTCAACAGATTCAGTTACTGGGTCGAGATATGAAGGGACCTGCTCATGACAAGCTCTGGAATCAGCTTGAAGCAGAAATACACCTTCACCGTCACAAAACTGTTATTAGAGCTTGTCGAGGTAGGAATGATCTGAAACGACCAATGCAAGCACCACCAGGACATGTAAGTTGAAAGAGTGACTCATTCCTCTGTAATTTCTGATATTTGAGGAAAAAAAGATGGGAGTTAGTTCTTTGATTTTTGTGCTTATTTGCACTTCACTTTTGAGTTCTTTTAACTGTCACTTTTATATATATGTAATTATTTTATATCGTAAAGTGGTTTGTGTTAGAAGGGACTGTTAAAGATCATCTGTTCCCATACCTGTTTCTTCTCTAGGATAAATAACCCCAATTCTCAGCCTTTCTTCACAGGAGAGGTGTTTCAGCCCTGTGATAATTTTAGTGGCCCTTCTTTTGACCCACTCTTGACAGGTCCATGTCTCTGTTACTCTGGGGAACCCAGAGCTGGATATCGTAGAGGACAGATCCATTCTGAATAGCATGTCTACAGAAGTGACCGTGTGAAGGACAATTCTGCTGCCTTATCTAGGAACACTAAGACCTTTTGAAAATTGTCTCTGCTGTGTGTAGTAATATGAATTTAACATGTGTAGCCTTGGTAGACATTGTCTTAGCTAGCCTAGCACACAAACTGTTAATAATCCCCAGCATTCAGTGCATGAAACCAAACACTTTCAGGAAAGGGCATTACTTTGATTGACCTGTTTTAAATATCTTAGTTGTTCAGATGGATCTTACTACTTATGTTCTTAATGGCGTATAAAATATGCTTTATGTGTGTGCATGATTTTGAGGATATGCACAAATGCAACAGTAAAATAAATACTTGGATTAATTTAGCTTCTTTTCTAGTCTTGAGTTGAATGGCTTATGATATAGTTTGTTTTTAATATAACAAGAATAAACCCTTTTCTGGGACTGTATTGCATCTGTCATTTGATTAGCTTTAAGTTACAATTTTGTCGTACAACATTCCAACAGTGATCAGCATTCCTTTATGTAGTCCCTTTATATTTTTAATATATGGCTGCTTTTCCTGCTTTTGGAAGTTACGTGTAATTACAGCACTCATCACTGAAATAATTGAAATAATTATTCTTGTCAGAAGTGCATAATAAGAAACCTTTTCTGATTTTGTAACCTATCTGTAAGGGGGCACTCAGGATTGACATGCCCTGTGCTGTTCTGTTGCTGATATACTGTCCTTCTACAAATAATTAAAAACAAAAAGGCAGGAATGCATCGCTTTTTGGTTCATGTGTTTGTATTTACAGTTTATTGAGTTTTTATGTGTTTTGTTTTATTTTATATCAAACTAGGATCCAGATGCCTTAAAGAAGAGTCAAGGTGTTGGTCCAATCAGAAAAGTGTTGCTAGTTAAAGAAGACCATGAAGGACTAGGAATTTCAATCACAGTAAATGCTTTATTTTCCATTACAAAGAAGCAGCAATTTAAATTTGCACTTCATAAAATATGGAACAGTGAATATGTCATTAGAGCACAGCAATCAAAAAGGTTGCATTATGTAAATTTGTAGCTATAGTTGTGTGACTTGAAGAATCCAACTCATTCTGATTGATTGTGAAATCCTTAGGTTTATGTAAAACTTAGATGTTCAGTGTTTGTTTTGAGCTTAGGCCCTAAGTTTGAAATTTGGCTGTTCTTCTCAGGGGAGAAGAATTAAGAGAAACATCTCATACCATCTACTTCGATATTCTTTTTGTCCAAAACATTCATTCTTAGTTTCTATAATAAAAGTTGAAATAAGCACATTAAGAACAGCTATTAGAATGCTGGTTTTCTGCCAGTGCACATTTCAGCTGATTAAAATTCTTGTTTTCTGTAGGGTGGGAAGGAGCATGGTGTTCCAATACTGATCTCTGAAATCCATCCTGGGCAACCTGCTGATCGATGTGGAGGACTACATGTTGGGGATGCTATTCTGGCAGTAAATGGAGTTAATCTAAGAGATGCAAAACATAAAGAAGCTGTAACTATCCTCTCCCAACAGGTCAGTTGGGACCTGTTAACAATAGGCAAATTTATGCACTTCCTTTATTCTGCCTATTGAATTACCTTGACTTTTAATGTTTTCAGTCAAACAGATTATTATTCTTGAAGCTCCGTCACCTTACACTGCGTTCTGTTGTGTCTTACAATCTATGAGAAAAAGGCTGGGCCAATATTGCTTCAGTTAAACCTATGTCCCCTTGAATTTATTCCTACTTTGGTTTTATTCTAGAGAGGCGAGATTGAATTTGAAGTAGTGTATGTTGCTCCAGAAGTTGATTCAGATGATGAAAACGTAGAATATGAGGATGAGAGTGGACATCGTTATCGTTTATATCTTGATGAATTGGAAGAAGGGGCAAATTCAGGTTCTAATAGGAAAGAAGTAAATGTGGATGTCAAACCCTCACAAGGTAACCTTTCTAAAAAGTGTTGTATTTAATTGTGAGGTCTCAGTGTGCAAGCCAGTTTCTAGAGAACACTGTTCTTGTATTAATTGTAACATTTATCTTCTGTTAATTCAGTTAACTTACTAGTAAGTTGTAAGCTCTTTTGGTTGGTCCCTTACTCGTTGGCCTGGTTTACTTAGAACTGAATTAACTAACTTTTGTGGGTTTTGTGTATTGTTTTTTTCCTAATCACTTTTTCCCAATTGGTCTTATTTTTTCCTGACTAGGTGTAGTTAATTCCCTGTAAGCTATTATTTTATTTTGTTCACTTCTTCAAGTATGTTTTTTTTAGATCAGAGATGTGTGTCAAGAGTTCATGTTTTCCTTCTGTAGTGTTTTGCTTAAAACATTAGCTTGTATTTTTAGCACTCTTTTCAGGACATTTTCTAGTTTCTGAAATAAATCTCACTAATCTACGATTCCCAAGATTACTTCTCTCCTTATATAAAATTTCTTTTTTCTTGCAGTGTTTGATAAGAAACCAAGTATTGATGGACATGAAAATGGAGACCTGGGAAATTCAGTTGAAGCTTCATTAGGAGATGCTGCACCCAAATTAACCCGTTCTGCTGAGTCTTTATCCTAAAGAAACAAAGAAAGAAACAAACAAAAGCAACTGGACAGATCCCATCTTTGGGAACAATTGATAATCAATATTGACTGCTCCGAGTTTGCGTATACAAATGTAGGTTGTAAAATGGTAATTAAAAGTCAAAGGGAACTGTTACTGTTGCCTGGAAAAAAGGCAGTTACCTCAGGGCTTCATTGTGAGCATTTCTAAGTGTGGAAAACTGTCTTTTGCTTGACACACAATGGCTATTTAACACATAGCATGTGAAACTAATTTCCTTTTAATAATAAGCACCAAAGCATGGGATTTCTAAAAAAGATAACCTCAATACCTTCAGCTTTTAATTTCTCTTATATCCCTAAGGAAGGAAAATAAGATGTGACCAGCTTTATTTTCACCCCTTGATATTTTAAAGGGACAACCAGTGTTCAGTTTGTTGCGAAACAAGCTTTGACTCTGGAAGGTGAGGGGGAATTGTATTGTTGCATACCTGAATTTTCCACTTGGAGTTTTTGATTTGTAACTTCCAAAAATAATGTCGGTTTGTTTTGTTTTGTTTTCTCAGAATAGCAAAACTTTCTTACTTAAGCAAGGCCATCAAAACCCAAATGCAACAATGGAATAGTTATTAGTTATGACCCATGATAATGGGTGAGCTTTTTGATATTATTATTTTAATTAATTCACTGCTAATTGTTCCATATGAAAATTGTTCCGAGCATATTTAAACAGGGTATTATGCGGTTTTACAAACAGAATTAGTTTAAAAAGACATCCACAGTTATATGTGCCCTTTGGTATTCTTTTCTGAACATCATCAGTTCAGTGTGCTTTCTTGAATGGATGTGGTTACTACCCATGTGGAGCTGTCTGAGTTGGTCATTATTAGCTTGAGCTTATGAAATGCTGAGTACTCTCAATAGGTACTGAACATATTTCAGATCAAAGTAATCTTTAAAGAAGTGAAAATAAAGTGCATAGTGCTTTATAGGAGGTGCTCAGAATTGTACAGTGTCTGGCCCTATCTGTTACTTTTGGGCGATTGTATTAACTTGTAATTGTCTTACTGTTGAAAGAGAAAAGATACTGTTTTTGTAACAGCAGTGTATCTGAAACTAGCTTTTATTTGGTGTACATCTAAAAGCCCATTGCAAATGGAAATGTTGAGGATGGCTTCTTGGCCAGTTTCTTGTATAACTGCAGATATACAAGAACTGACCTTGTAGATCTTTAGGTGAAATGCAACTTTTTTCCGTACACAGACTCTCTTTGTAATCACATTTATTATTTCACCCTGCTAAGATAGCTTTCTTATTTACTGCTTTGCAGGCTGTTGGACTGTAATGTGAAAAGATTTTATTATGTGACAGTGGAACTAATGTGAAAAGACATTTTTGCAAGTGTTAATATGTAGGATATTATGTACCTAAAAAAAAAAAAAAAACCTGGATGGCCTTTAGAGTAACATCAATTAATTTTACCTTCAAAATTGTGATGTAGAACACGGTTGCTTGTTTCTCCCAGGAGCACTATATATATGTTAATAGAAAAATCCTAAAAATGTATATACTTTATTCAAAGATTTTTCTATTTATAAATCCCTTAACTTTGCTATTTACAAGATTGTTTCGTGTGTGTGCTTTTATGCATGAGTTCCATTCACTCAGTGGAGTTACTTGGTTCATTTTTTGTAATAGCCTTTCTCATATGGCATACTGTTTGAAGGCTTTTAGAATAGTCAAACTTGTACAGTTTTCACCACACAGGCGCTAGTATTTAAAAATGAATCTGTGTAAAGAAGAAACAGGTCACCAGACATATTTCTTTTTCTGATGCATCAGAAATTACAGGCACGTTGGGTACAAATTAGCAGATAAATCCACTGCTAGAAATTCACATTCAGATTGCTGTGGGTATTTTTTATTTTTATTTTGTTTAATTATTATTATTTTTTTTCCTCACAGTTAGTAAAGTAGAATGCACTCTGAAATGGTCAGTGGCCTAGAACACTCTATGCTCTCTGGTAGAGAGTGTGATTTAAAGCTGAGTAGTAATTTTACTGTCTTTGAAAATCATAGCAGTATAAAATTTTGCTGCAGTTGTAAGAAGTGAGGCTGGTCCAACTAATCTAATAGGTTTTTAAAAGCACTGAATTTGCCTGCACATTTTCCCTGTATCTGAGAGGAAGTTTAATTTTTTTTATTTATTTGATCTTCCTTACTTTCTGGCATAGCTCATTTTCCATTCAGCCAATTGATCTATTCCAGCCTGAGGTGGGAGAGTATTTCTGGAGTTATTTTCCTGACATTCCTTGTCCACCTGTTACAATGCTGTACACTTTTCTTTATCATCTGGAAGTTGCTGGATCCTTTGTCTGTTATTTTGTCTATTTTTAATCTATGTATGAGATCAACAGAAGGAAAATGGCTGAGGAGAATGACTAAGAGCAGACAAATCAGGTATCAGTAAATCATCACTGTGTTTCTTTCCCTGCAGTTTTTATAATCTTTGTTTAGAAAGCCCTGAATGGGAGGAATTTGCACAGACACTCCAGTGGCTATACTCCATCCTTAGTACCAGCTGATTTAACATCCTTGTGTGCCGTAGTCATACTGATATGCTTTGAGATTAATATTTAAATTGAGAAAAGGTTTGCAAGTTGAGATTTCCAGATTCAGTAGACAAATGTGTATTTTTTCCTTTGTCAGTAACTGGAAGACTCAGTCCTGCTGATCCGCAGAGGTTGAAAGAAATAGACTTGGAAGAATTTCCGAGGAAAGGCAGTATTCAGACTTCATTTTTATTTTTTGAAGTGTGAAACCGTTTACTGGCATGTATATATATATTTTTACTTCAAGAATAAAATAGTATTCTAAAGAAAACTGCATTTTTTTTTTCTAGTAGATAATTCCTTGCCAATTAAAAAAAAAAAAACAACAAACAAACTTCACTGAGACAACTGTATTTTAAGCTAAAGGTAGACAGTGCTTGTTGGCATCTGGGACCAATGTTAATTAAGAGCATGTTAGTTAAGGAAAGTGCTAAATGGCAATAAATTTAACTCTGATCAAAGACTATGTAGTATTTCCTTTGTAGAAGTGTGTTTGTGGCAGTGAAGATGGTTTGTATCCACCTCAATATATGTTAATCGACCATTATATCAAATGAAATCCAAGTATTTATTGTACGTGTCCAAATATCTATAAAGTCATTCCTATAGGAGGTATAACATTTAACAACAAATGTATCATATCTAGTTAAGCTGAATATATTTTTATTAGCCTGTAAATACTCTTCTGTACTTCAGTGATTTCTGTATCTAATTCAGACTGGTATTTCATTTTCTTCTGTTTTTTATATATAAAATATAGATGCCTACTCCTGTGTGTGATTTTTTTTTTAAAACATGTAATCAACACCCAGGTAAAAAGCTGATTATTGTGAGGAAAAACAAAACTGCATAGTGTGAATTTTGATGATAATCTAGTCTTGGCCAGCAACGGTTGATAGCAGATTACATTTTTAAAGAGAATGTCTCAAATATCTTTACTTAAGAAGCATTTCCTGCAGAATTTTTTTCAATAGAAGAAAAATGGGGCAAAATTTGCAATGTATTCTGGCTGTACAATAATACTATAAATATTCCATAGCTTAAAACTGGGGAAACTGCTTTTTTTTTTGTTTTGTTTTGTTTATTCAGATTAACAATGTGCTTTTTTTTTTTTTTTTTTTTTTTAATCTCTGACTTATATTTAAGTGGCCTTTTCTCCCTAGAGCAGCAAGTTCACCCAAAACTGGATGCCATACAGAGAGCTCAGATAAGAGTAATGGTATAGTAATTGTGGTAAGTAATTGTTTAATAGTGGTAGTGCTTACAGATTTCTTGAGTGTACGTGAGTACAATGGTTGCAGGCATAGGAACTCTGTGAATAGACAAGGCTGAGTCATGTTGGATGAAAGGATGTTTCTAACCCTCAATTGGTGAGGGATAGAACTGTACTATTTATTTTTTACCTCTGTAATTTTTAGAAGGGTGATTTTTATACATGGGTGACAAGTAGATGGAAAAAATAGAGTAAGGAGATAGAACTTACATGTGGCTGAGGTATAATAAAACAGTAAGAGAATTAATGGTAATCACAGAATCATAGAATGGCCTGTGTTGAAAAGGATCACAATGATCATCTGCTTTCAGCCTCCCTGCTATGTGCGGGGTCACCAACCACCAACCTCCAGGGATGGGACATCCACACCCTCCTTGGGCAACCTGTTGCAGTGCGCCACCACCCTCTATGTGAAAAACTGAGAATGAAGATTGAAACAGATGGTAAAAGGAGTAAAATAACTTTCTTTATGCCAGCTAGGATCAAGAAGGAGTGTGCAAACTTTCGTAGTGTCCTGGTGCCCAGCTGAATGACTTCAGACTGCTGCTTGGGCCTGTAGTCACTGAATAGTTTCTCTGTATTTTTTACCAGAGATTGCTATGTAGTAAAAGAAAAGCTCATCCTGATGTTGGATTCAACTACAAAGTCAATTTTGTCGTGCACAACCTCAGCCCAGTGACTTGAAGAGCAAATTACTTACTTACCTGTTGTCCAGAATGTGTCTTCTCTGAAGTGGTTTTGTTTCCAGTTCTTTTAAAACTACATCATTCATGTTTTGAGTGGATTTCAAGTATTAAGAAGTGGAAAAGTTTGAAGGAAAAATTCCTTCCCCCCGCCCTGAGGCAGGGCTCTTGTTGTTTCATGTGCTTAAGAGTAGCCTTGCCTTACCTGTATTTGCTTGTGTACTCTGCTGCAAGAGTAGCTTTGCTTTTGATGCCCACACCTGTGGTGTGCTAGTCATGAACTGGGCTTTGAGGCCAGATGTCTGAATAAGTCCAAGGAATATTTTTCACAAAGTCTCCCTTTGTAATGGAAAACTTGATTCACCTGAGTAAATTTTTCACATAATTTTTTTTCTTTTTTTCTTTTTCCCCTTCATGCATCAGCTGTAGATGCTATTTGGTGCCTGTCTGATAGCTTTCTGCCTAGTGCCTTGTGTCTTGTTTTGCACAGCTGTGCTGAAGAGAAGCAGTACAACTGCTGGTGTTCTGAAGGCTCTTTAGCAGGATACTGCTGTCCTCACCCCCTTTGGGATCTGTATTAGGAATGCATTGGTCCCTAAAAAATAATCCAGGAAAGATGGTTAAAACTGTATGTTTTGTTGCTTTGTTTAAGGGTGGGATTTTTTTTGTTCGTTTGTTTGCTTTTCACTTTATACTGGAAATTGCGATCACATCTCCCTCATTCACAGGTCTTGCTGCCTTCCCTTTTTTTCATGATCTCTTTCTGAAATGCAAAAGCAGTGTTCCTGATCTTTGCTGCCTTCATCCCGTGAAACACAGCCTGATTTGTCTCCCCAGCATTTACCTCCACCAGCAACATAGCCATCAGCTCTTCACTGAAAGGTTTTCAATGGCTTGGGCTCAAATAGAAGATTAGGAAGATATAAAAATAAGCAGAGCTAAATGAGAGGCGTTAACAGACATGTTTTGATTATCAATAAGAAAATGTCATAAATCAAGGATGCTTGATAGACATCTGGTAACTTTTCAGTTTGGTTTTAAGTCATCAAATTGTTTACTACAGTCCTGTTGATGAAATCCCAATTTTCCTATTAAATGTCTTAATGCCTGAATGAGTAATGCTTCTGTAAAATGGAGTAGAACAGAATGACGTGATAATTTTATCTAATGGTGTTTGTTATTGTCCAAGTATTTATTGTTAATTTATTTAGGGGAATGGAAGCATTAAAGTTCAGGCTGCTGGACCAGAGCAGTTCCTTGTCCTCTGTACTGGCTTTACACTTCTGGAGATGTGTTTGCCCTGGATGCTTTTCCTTGCAACAAGAAGTGGGATGTTGCAGTTCACTCCCTTTGGGATCAACCTGTGGTGAGTGCTGTAACCTTTGCTTTGCTAAGGGGCAGTTAAAGCTTTTGGGTTCTCCTGGGCTTCATTCTGGGTTCTTCCTGGTCTACTGACAGTCACATGAGCTGCTAGCCTTCTGAAGTTTCTGAATTCAGATGGGACTGCATACTGGCTGACAAAGGTGAGATCTCTGGAGTGAACAAGCTGGGACATGGGAGGACATGGGAGTTACTTCTTTCACGGTAGTATCCCTAAGGGAATATTACTCAAGAACCATTAGGCTATGATGTTTATGATGAATTTGTTTTGTTATTAAATTGTATTTTTCTTGAGAAAAAAATGTATTGTGATCTTTTTCCTGTTAAAGCAAGGAATACTAAGATGGCTTGTGAGATGTGCTATATATCAGGCTGCTCATTAGATTTCATACATTCTTTATCTTAGTAGCTTTAGTGTTATAGTAAGTTAAAGTAGTCGTCTTGAGTGACCTTGTTAAGTAGTTAAGTTTAATTTGTGCTACCTCAGCTTTATGCTATTTACAAATCCAAAACTTTTCTATTTCTTGGCGAATCCTATTTGTAATCAGAATCCTAATTCTTTTTTAGTGCACGATATTTGTACTTGTATTTAGAGCCAAAAGGGGGCAGCAGCTTCTTTCAAATCTTCAGCATTAACTGGACTGGGAAAGGTCCTATTCCTTGCTGTTCACGGATTCTTTTGTTGTTGGTGGTTTTTGTGTGTGTGCTTGTGTGTGTGTGTGTTTAAAAAAACTTTGAAATAGAAAAACCTTGTTCTTTAAAATTATTTCTAGTCATGTTTACTCTTATAAGAACAAACATTCAGTCTAGTTAGTGTCCTGTAACAAGTGCTTTCCTGGTGAAATAATGTAAACCAAACATTGTTCTCTGTATCTGTGCAGCATACGTACAGGAACACATGAACACACACACATGAATCATGACTTCTTAAAGAATTCTTTTATTTCTCTGTCAGTTACTTTAAAAAATGACTGTTCTCTTACACGCTCATGGTACAAGTTTTGATCTCCATGGGCGGATTAAGTGCTTCTGAAAGACTGGGCCAGAGCACTGATAAAACACAAAATGAGTTATTGGGTAGGTTTGCAGACTCCCCTGCTTACATTTTGTGAGTGTCCTTCAATCACTCTCTACAACCGGCCTTGTGCTGTTCCTGGCATTTTTGCTGGAACTGAGGCTGCCCATTATGTCCAACTGCATTGAGATTTGATGATGAGGAGTAACAAACAAACAAACAAACAAAAAAAAGTGATGAACATAACATTTTGTTCTTGTCTAGTTTCACACTGAAGGCTTTTGGTCAGAAGGAAAGAGGAAGACCTTCTGTAATCTTCTTCCTAATGCTGTTGTTTCCAATGTTCACCAAATGGTGTCTGTTGTCATTAGCCAGGTGATCAGTGACCTTATCAGCTGAATGTTCTGTTGCATAAAACATTTGAGTCCTCGATGCTGATCCTCATACAGTGATGTGACTGTGCTATAATCAGAGGGGATACGGTGTGCTAATCTGTCAGAAGTTAACTGTATAACTGAACTACAGATTCTAAAGGGGCATTTTTCTGAATGCCATATGCCAGGCATTTATAAGATAGTAGAAAAGTTATGGCAGCATTGTTACAGAAATCATGGGTGGTTATGTGTTGTGAGTGTCAAAAGGGATGAGTTCTGTCTTTTGTGACAGTGCTGTATGTGTTTAGGTACCTATGGAAGAGAAATTACATGAGCTGTCCACAACCTTTTCACATCCATGTATGACTCTCATTCTTCCACATCACAAGAATCCTCTATTGAGGTCACCTTATTCAAATTTTATAAAACTGTCTGTCAGAACAGATGGTATCACTTAAGGATAAAAAGCTTAGCCATAGATGTGAAGAAAACCTGCCTCTTCAAGTAAGGCCTGCTAGCACGTCTTAGTCTTTATCACCTATGTCTTCTCTCCCTGCATGACAGAAATTTCTCACAGGTTTGTGACTTGTCAAAGGCCTTTACATTTTTAGATGGGTTTGACTTGTTGAAACAACTCTGGTCAAACAACAGCTTTTCTATCTCTCTCATCTATGAAATGGTTGCTTGGGCTACGGAAGTTAAGATGTGTAAAATACATTTGTAAAGGCAATGGCTTCTCTTGCATGCTCAGGGTAACAAATCATTCAGACTGACAGTTCAGTAATAGCTACCATAACTTACTATCTTTCTGCAGTATGTGTTTCCCTTCCTTCATGGCCAGTATCACCATCATCTCTGCTCCCCGTCAGTCCTCATGTAGCTCTTCGGGAGGCTTCTGATAAGCTCCCTGAAGTATGTCAATCTTCGGCCACTGCTGTTTGTTTCTGTGTTGTTTGTGTTAATTTATTTTGGGTGTTCTTTGAAGGCTAAATTTTGGCATTAATTTTTTGCTACCTTCCAAACAATGTGTGTATTTTTTAAAGTCTGTTATTGTCTGTCGTTACCCGATCTGACTGATAGAACACGGCAGTTTTGAATGAGGTGTTATTTTGCAAGTTTTCTCACTCCTTTTACTGGCTCAGATTCATGATAAGAAGTGTTGGATATTCAGTGTTATTGTTCCTCTTCAGGTGAGGATATAATGTGGATCTTTAAGGCAGCTTTTCAAATCAGGTCTGTTAAAAATTTGTGTCTACCCAAAATTATGGATTTCTGAGCTCAGTTCCGGATGTTGGTCAGGACACAAGAATCAGTAGTGTCACATGTATATTTATACATATATACAGCTTGTATATTTTGCTACGCTGAAAAATTATGTTGTGCTATACATTTATCAAGTTGTCTCCTTTCTGGATTCCTCCTTCTGGTATGACTGTATAAGAATAAACGGGATGATAATCTCACAGATGTTGCATGCCTGCTCTGTAATTGTGTCAAAATAAATGATGGTTGACTCCACTTAAGACATATGAATAACCTCTGCATACAGTAGATGGCAAAAGTTTATCAGGCCTTAGAGCCGCATAATGTGAGGCCAAGCTTAAACAAATACTGTGAAGTTAGAGTGAAAAAGCCTCCAAATTCTTGTGTCCCGACTATACAAAGATAACATAGAACAACAGATATTAGGCGTCTTCCTTATCTTTTATAACATGAGTTTTTCCGACTAAGGATGTCTTCTTCTTGTCTTTATCTAGTTTAGAAATACTTTATCTGGAGAGGTTTCTATTTGGATTCTCTAAGTGATCATGCAGAAATGGTACCTTAACTTCAAATAAATTCGTTCTTTGAAACTTATTCTTCAATGATTCATAGGCTTTGCTGCTGTTCCTTTATAATGTTGTTAGTCTTGTTAGCCCCACACAGCTACGGTAGGATAATTTTCAGTATAGATGTCACGTTCAACAACACCGATGAGATTCAAAAGAAAAGATAAATTCTGCTTGTTTACCCCATGCTTTGCTACTGTGGGGGAGGTTGGAGGTCAGTACAACCTTTACAGCATCACTGACATTGGAAAGAAGAGACTTGTATGGAACTTCTATTATGGAAAATAATAAAGAAAAAATGAATGCAGTAATATAACCTTGTCATTTCTAGAATCCAGACTGATTGCAGTCTAAAGGGAGCCCTTAGGACACATGCGCATTAAGCAAATTGAACCTGGTTTTGGAGAGAGTGAATGAAAAAATAGTGACAGATTTTTACAAGGTTTATTTTCAGAGAATGCCTGACTTCTAAGGAATGAATCAGTGGTCTCATAGAGGTCACAAAACTCCTGTTCATAGCTAATTGCTTTTTCTTACTTACCCTCCTGAAATGAATTGGAACTGCCTGGAGAAAAATGATTGGCTTTGGCAAAAGAAAAAAATAAAAGTAAATGCCTAGCTTTGGGAAAAGCTGAGACACAGACAAATAACTGCATTTTGTTTAATAGCCACCTTAGTGGTGACTTTGTATGCACAGTTCTGAAGGCATTGCTGCAATGCAGTGCTACTATTTTAAGGTCAAAGGATATTAATTGTAGAATCTCAGAACAGTTTGGGTTGAGACCTTAAAGCCCACCCAGTCCCACCCCCTACTATTGGCAGGGATGCCAGCCCCCAGCTCAGCCACTCAGGGCCCCCTCCAACCTGGCCTTGGAGCACTCACAGTTTCTCTGGGCAGCTGTGCCAGCGCCTCACTGCCTGTAAGTAAAGAATTTCCTCCTAACCTAAATCTCTTCTCTTTTGGGGAATTTGCTGCCTTTTCCAGTCTAAGGAGATGAAAGTGATGAACATTTGTGTTTTTGTTGTGGTGTTTGGGAAACACTTTTGGTGGTGGGAGGGAAGGAGTTTTTGTGGGTTTTTGTGTTTTTTTCTTTCTTTTTTTTTTTAATAGAAGGCACTGTATTTTCTACAATTCATTTGATTAGAGGTGCCTAGTTTACGGAGTGTGACCCCATTCACAGCACTGTCAGAGGCTTGCCTTCAACTGCAGCTGGAACAGGTGGACCCTTAGGGCTGTGTCCAGTTAATATTCAACCTTCTTGTGAACTTTGCTGCATTTACACTGTACCAGACTACTAGGAGTGCCAGCTCTGGGAAGAAAATTGATACTGAATCTCTATTGAAAGTCCCTGTTAACCAGATGGTCAGTCTCCTAAAGATGGTAGGCTCTGTTCTGCTGTAATCTCATGACATACTGGAGGGAGATCCAGTGCAAATGCAGCCCTTATAAGTGTGTTAGTGTTTTGAAGTAGGGCCTGTTTGAATCTTTGTTGTAGAAGGAAGATTTTTGAATACACCGTGTTTGCTGAGTCTGACTGTGTTACACCTGCAACTGGTTTTCACTGTGGAAATTAATGAGCTAGAGCAGCCTGTGAGAAACCATTCTGAGGAGAAATATGAGGATGAATACCCACCTGCAGGAAGATCAGTCATCCCTTTTCTTTCCTGCATAAGGGCTTAGTAGCAGGATGGAGAAACTACTATAGAGACTAGAAGTTCCTCTGCATATCTGCTGCTAGGTCACTAAGAACTCCTTGTTCCCCAAGCTGAGGGGAAGAAGCCCCAAGCTGTTTGTGTCAGCTGCCCTCAGCATTCACTCAGATTGGAGCCATGAAGCACTGTGCAGTGGCTGGCAGTGTGTGTGATGACAGAGCCACCACTGTAAGTCAGAAATAATGAAGACATCTGGGGATTGATTCCAAGCTATCTTTTTACAGTTTTTTTGGGTTCTTTTTGAGAAGTGGAGGATGAAGGCATGTTGCACATTGAAGCCCAACATCTTTTTCAGCTAAAATAGCTGTTCTGAGATGGGTTTGAATGGCAGCAAAAAATGGGCATGTGCAACGAAGAACAGTTTGACACTGCAGATGCAAAAAGCGTGTGGCTGAGGCATGCCAAAAGGTTGTTAGAACACAAGCCATGTCATCAGCTGCCTGCTGCTGTTGCCGTGCTGCATTATCTTTGTGGGGAATAGCTCTGATTACTGAGCTCCACTTGTTTGCAAAGTGACAAGTCAAGCTAATTAGCTGTGTGGGTGGAGTATTGGATTCAGTCTCACCAGGGGGGTAGCCTCATCCTCCCCTCAATTATGTGCATCCAGCAGCAGAGCTGGGCACAGAAGTTTGTTCGTGGGCGTTTCTTCTCTAGAGATTATGGACACAGAAGCCAGGCTAAGTGGGGCACTGGGATAAGCTTTTTTTAGCCTGTCATACAGAGAGTGTAAATTGCAGCCGCGGAACTGACACTTTTGCACGGAATAAGGAACAGTTACTTCTCACTCTGCAGGATATGTGACAAGAGTGGGTGTGCAGCGATGATAAAGTCACCAAGTTAAGTACCAGGCCTGTGTGACTGATTTACAAATACCAGTGTTCTTTATTTACATAGACATGTAAACAACAGAAGGTAAACAACACCACCCAGCTCGGTCTAATAAACAGGCTGCTGCTGCTTCGCTTCAGAACCTGAGGTGTTTTATACAATTCACAGAAACTGTATTGACAGCAAACGCAGGAGGACTACAAGGTTAGCTCAACTCTTTCTTCTTTGCACGGAAGTCGCATGCACTGTGCTTTGGCATGACAGAACTGCACAACTGAGGCCACAAAACAAGCAAATGCGAAGAACCCACTAAGAGCTGTTCTTAAGGTCAGATATGGCTCAAGTTAGCAATATTTGTACCTAGTATCACTTACAGCTTTTGTGTACTCTTAAAGCACTTTGTGAACAAACAAGAAATCTTTGCTGCGTCCTTTGCAAATGATCCCCAGCTTACACACAAGGAAACACACAAGGCCTTGAAATACTGACTTTCCAAGAGCTCACATTTTACAGGGCTAATTTCCCAACCTTGTGCCTTAAATGTAGCACCATTCTTCTCTCTTGGAAGAATATAACTTTTTGATATTCTGAGACACACATTCAAATTCAAGGTAAGGCTCCAAGTGCTGCAGGGCAAAGGATGGTTGCAGTCCTGACCTGAAGCTTGTGGCTTCAATGACACCTTTGCTGAAGGAGTAGCTAACAGCTGTGCATTGCAGCCAACCCCAAGCTTTTTCAAGTTTGTCCAAAACTAGAATTGAGTAACATCTGCTGCAAAAGAAAACCTATTTGAGCACAACTGTGCTGAGCCACTGTCTTGCATTGAAGTGCAACACTGAACCATACCCATGTTGTCTTTTAGTTTTACAAATTTAGTGTAGTATTTCCATTTGAAATATTTAGTCAAACAGAAAAATACCCAGTGGAGCAATGAAGAGCTGCTTTGTGTCCAGGAACAATTTTTCTTACAGGTTTACATTAACAACATCAGGTAGGGTCTGAACAGGATTCAATTCTTAGCTGTAAATTCACATTATAGTTCCACACACATTCAATGATAAAGCAGATTGGCATGTTTCTATTGCAGATATGTCTGCAAGGTGATCGCTATGGCTTGAATCCAAAGCTTGTTCCATCTTTTCTACCTGTACTTGATATGAATAGCAAGTTAGGCTCAGCTCATACACTAGGTCAAATTCAAGCATCTATAGATTGCTGCTGAAAGGCAGCTGGGCAGGTGAGATGGAGCGTGGTATTTAAATGCTCAGCTGCCTTCTCTTGTGCACTTCACGCTTCAAGCAGTTTTACTTCTGCCCTCCCAAGAGGAACTATAATGATGATCTTCAGTTTTCAGAGGAAAGGAACTGAACCACATCAGCTGTAAGATACACAATTTACAGCTGCACTACAACAGAGGTGGAATAGAGAGAGAGCTATTTCTGCAGAAGCTGGTTTGTTGTTTTTTTGTTTTGTTTTGTTTTTGTCCTTTCAATTCCACAGGTGAAAAGAAAACTTAAGAAACTCTCCTTAAATAAAAGCTATGTACAAATTGCACACGTTGCAAACGGAGCACTGAGATCAGTTACAGAAATAAGATATACAGTCTTCACTGATAACATCTCTTTTGATATAAACAGTGATAAACAGCATATGCTTTCTTCAGATGTCAGAACCCAGCAAGACTGCAATATTATGTACACAGGGTTTGTTTGCCTTCTGCCTTCTGCAGCAGAATCCTTTAAAACTCTGTTTTCACTTTGGAAGCTGCGCTGCGACATTCCTGTGCGCCGCGTCTCTCTTGCTTAGCGGATCACAAGAGAGCTGTCATTGCTGTCTGGCTTATCGGGTTCAGGCAGTCTCTGGGTGTTGAGTAACCCTCACTCCCTAGCGCGTTCGCCTGAGGTTTCTGGTAGTCCGTACTATAGCTCACAGAGGTCAGAATACCGTTGGCTTTAGGTTTGTCGTAGTTTATTACGCTCTGGGGTGTCTGATAGTCTCCATTCCTGGTATCAGTCTTACATGAGCCAGAGAAACTGCCGGCAGAAAGGGAATGTTTCTGTGAGGATATTACAGGTATGTTGTAGCCGTTTTCA